AAAAAATCACAAACAAGAGCACCGTATAAAAAATCACAAACAAGAGCACCGTATAAAAAATCACAAACAAGAGCACCCTATAAAAATCACAAACAAGAGCACCGTATAAAAAATCACAAACTGAGCACCGTATAAAAATCAGAAACATTAAAACAAGTTTAAAAAATTTTTGTTTTATTAATTTACTCTAATTGGAGCTGCACTACAGTATTAACAACTTTGACTTTTATATATTTTTTTTATTTGTGGAAACAACCATTAGTGATTGGTAAATTCATTGATTTTCAACAGATATTCAAAAATGCATAATATGTTAATTTACTGTGTGTTTGAAAATAGTATTTGATAGTTAATCATGAAATGTTCAATGTGAAAATTTTACAGGAATTCCTCTACTCTTTCAAATAGTTTACTATAAGCATATATACTAACAGAAATAACTTGTTTCTGGTCTAATTCCTATAAATGCATGATTTTAGAGAATGAAAAATAGTCTTGAATTCATTTCACTGAAATTTGAATCATACTAATGATTACATATCCCTAAGACCTGAGGCCCAGCATGGTCAGGTGGTTAGGGCGTTTGACTCGCAATCTGAGGGTTGCGGGTTTGAATCCCCGTCCCACCAAACATGTTCACCCTTTCAGCCATGGGAGTGTTATAATGTTATAGTCAATCCCACTATTCATTGGTAAAAGAGTAGCCCAAGAGTTGGTGGTAGGTGGTGATGACTAGCTGCCCTCCCTCTAGTCTCTCACTGCTAAATTAGGGATGGCTAGTGCAGATAGCACTTGTGTAGCTTTGTGTGAAGTAGAAAACAAACAAATCAAGAATGCTAAGGCCTGGCATGGCCAGTTGGTTAGGGCGAACGATTTGCAATCCGTGGGTCATGGGTTCGAATCTCGACCCACTATCGTGAAAGTTTACAAAAGTTTATTGTTGTGTGATTAGCAAGTTTGCTTTGTATCCAGGTCAATTTCATGTGGTTGAGCTTGAGCAAAAAATTACTGTTGAGGCTTATTGCAATGTATTACACTTATAACTTTAGTATGGTCCTGTTATGTGACTTAGGACTTACTGAATATTAAATAAAGACAGAAAATTTTATTAGTCATTCTTATTTATATTATTGCACATTGTTTGTGTTAACATTGTATTAGGTTAAAAATAAATAAGTACACTCCAGTTATATTACATTTTCACTTTATTTAATGCAAATTATATACAGATATATATATATTTCAAAATATTGTCAATTCTCTTATGAGAATGACTATTTTTATCTCTCAGTAATCTTATCAGTACATCCATGAGGAGCATGGAAATGTTTACTCTAGAAAACTCTTAATTTAGAGTGGACACCAGTAGACAGTTGTACTCATTTCAATGAATTAATTTTGTTAATAATTGATTGGTTTTGATGATTTCACATGATCAATTTAATTATTATATCTCAATAATTTCACTGTTGTGAATAAATGTGTACAAAGTTTTGCAGTTGCAAATAATTTCAACTTGGATTGTGTTGTATAAATTGTCGTGCTAGATTAGCTGATCAATCAGCATAAGTGATACAGAATGTTCTTGGACTATGTATGAAAATTAAGAGTGAAAGCAATAAACCACAAAGATTAACCTAATCAAATCTTTAGTTACCCTTTCATAACATGCTTGACCTAGTCTGGTAATGTTTGGTTTTTATGAAATAAACAATGGTCTTCATCTAAAATCAGCTTAAGATAGGAAAAAGGCTGATTATCAAGAATGTTTGAAAGAGGACATACCTACATATAATGGTTGGAGCTTCCAAATACAAACAAAAGTATATTAAGTTGAAAGTCATCAAATTTAGCTTATAAATTTTAGGCTTTAATATCTGTTTGCATTGGATAACTTCCTCTGTCTCTGCCCTTTGAATACCTCTAGTCTTGTATACCTATCTTAAATTGCAGTAGAACAAATCTTAAGAAAAACTTTTTGACAGTTATTTAATAAGGTAAAGTGCATGAAAAGAAATCTTCAGAAAAACTTTTTGACAGTTATTTAATAAGGTAAAGTGCATTAAAAGAAATCTTCAGAAAAACTTTTTGACAGTTAATTAATAAGGTAAAGTGCATGAAAAGAAATCTCCAGAAAAACGTGTTAAAAGTTATTTAATAAGGTAAAGTGCATGAAAGAAATCTTCAGAAAAACTTTTTAACAGTTATTTAATAAGGTAAAGTGCATTAAAAGAAATCTTCAGAAAAACTTTTGAAAAGTTATTTAATAAGGTAAAGTGTTTCAATTGGAAAGGTTTACAAACTGAACAGAAAGAGAGTGATGGATTGAATATTGACGTGTAGACATACATGGATGAATGATTTTATCTGATGGTGATTTTTTATCAGTTTGACATGGGTTGTGTTTTATTTTCATATTCTTGTTGTAAAATCATTATACAAGTCATAATTTTTTATAAAATTTTGATTTTTATTGGGTAAAAAAATTTCTAAAACTCAACATAATCTATTGGTTTCTTCATATAATTGTTGAATCATGACTTTTACCACCAATATCTAACATCAGTGTACAGTGCTACTGATTATAAATTTGATGCAGGTTATTGTGGTAAAAAAACAAACAAAAGATGGATGAATGAGGTGCACAAAATATAAACACCAGAAATTTGAGGTATTTGAGTTCCCATGAACCTTCTTTTCATACTTTTAAGTTCAAAAACTGATTATACACATATTTTGATAGATTATTACCTCTGCCACCAAAGATGATGAAAATTGTTTTCATCTCTGTGTGTGTTTGTCAGCAAGATTTC